TAAACAAGCATAGGAAATATGAACTAGAATCATTAGACATAAGATAAATGATAAATAAGCATAAATCCTTCAAAAACCCACAAACATTCAGAGGTTTTAGCCAAGGTCTACCAAAATAGAGAGTTTAGCCACTCATGACGATAGAATAACAATCACAAAAGTCTAATTGCATAAAGAAACTACCAATAACTTGGAAAGATGAAAAGAAATGAGTCTTAAGCTTCAAAATCACCTTCTCCATGTCTCCAATGGTGTAAAATCGAAGTGATGGCTGATAGATCTCATCCCCCAAGGTTATGGTGTGCCAAATGACCAAAATGCCCAAACTGGGCAGTTGCACGGGTACCCGCGCGACGAAAATTCTACCCGCGCAAATGTTGTTGTAATGCTATTGGTCCTTCATTCCTCCACTCCACCGTTCCACTACCAAAGATTCTTTTGGTCCCCTCCATATCCATGTGATTTAAACCAACCAATCATCATTTAGCTACAAAAATGGATGCTCCAAGCCCAAAAATAGAAGTTTATGACCCATCTTTATAAGTCGAAAATATCCAAGTCTTCAACTCTTTAAGGCCCAAGTCTTCTTTTATGGATCCGCCAAGCCCAACAATGCCTCGAGAGTCCACTAAGCCCGTCTCCAATCAAACCGCAACAGCAACGAGCACCGAAAACCTGCAAAAAACCTTATGCAAAATAAAAAGCACCCGGTACGCTCCATAATAAAGAAAATAAAGAATATACAATGCATTAATAATAAAAACATGTAAAAATTCTAAAATAATCTAATAAAAAGAAAGAAATAAAATAAACTATCAAATCCTTAATTCCCTAAACCGACCCATTCTGGAAAACGAGTGTTACATAAAATAATGATGAGAGGCCAGGATTTTTTTAGTACTACTACACTAAAAATGTAGTCACGTAGTAGGGTATTGATGATGACCACAAACTAATCTAGACAAGTAGGGTCAAACATGGACAGGCTTGCAACATGTAGATGTTTATAAGCCATACACGGGCAGGTATACAACCTGTAGGTGTAAATTGATCATACATGGGCATGCTTACCACCTGTAGATGTTACTAAATTGTTTTGTGGACATGTCTACGACCTGTTGGCATTGATGAGTCGTACGCGGACAGGTCTACGACCTGTATGTGTTACTGAACTACACATGGGCATATCTCCGATCTGTAGATGTTAAGGAACCACATACAAATGAATGATCTATTCATGAGGGTACTATGTTCACCCCATGGTTGTCTTATTCGCACATATTACTAAGGAATCTCTGAGGCAGTATTATTTACTTAGAGATCCTTTAGGATAGATCCCTTAAGATTATTGGTTTAGGACCAGGGAGTGAGAATAACCGGAATGGGTAATCGGGTTATTTGTTTGATGTGAAAGACATAATTATAACAAATTAATTATATTATTGTTGGCTAAAAACCTTTTGTGCTCATCAGGCTCCCAAGCCTGACCCATTCAATTTCTTTGTATCACAAGTAGCAATACAAAAAGTATATGGATAAGTGATGTTTGGATCTGATGAAAGATTCGAGGAGATGTAGGCCATTGTATAATATGATGTAAGGCCTGTAATGACTATGTTTATGCTTATGTTTCTTATATCACTTATGACATGCCAAGTTTTTTTATAATTAATGAAAAACATTTCTTCGAAAATACTTTTTGTGGGACAAATTCTGCAATATAAAGAATACTCTGTTTAAAATAAGCACCAAGAAAAGGTCTTTTTAGGCCGTGAAAATGAGGATGTCACATATACAATTGTCAATTGGGGGAAGAGGAACGAGTGGCGTTCCTAAGCTTTCAAACTCACTAGTAGGTGACGAGGGTATTCAAAAAAATGGTTGATTTCTCTTACATGAATTCAGACTGGGCTTATTCTTCATCCCGCATCTTCTTATCTATCTTAGCTAAATGTTAAGCTCAATAATCAACAGATTTGGATAAGTGTAGCCTAAGTTACATAGCCATAAGCATAAGTATTTGAAACACTCTCATATCAACTCGTATTAGGCTAATTCTTCTTATTGTATATTCTTATAACAACTCGTATTGGGTTGATTCTTCTTTATGTATATTCTTGTTTGTCCTGACTAAATGTTAGGCTTAAGAATCAACTGATTTCGGTAAGTATAACCTAAGCTACAAAGCCCTAAATATGAGTACCTAGAAAATATGCAAAGCTGACTCGACAACGGAGGCAAAATATATTGCATCAAATAAAGCTATAAAGGAGGCTATTTTGATGAATAAGTTCATCATATATCCTGATGTGGTTCCCAACATTTATAATCACATTTAGATCTTTTGTGTCACCCATGGTGCAATCATTCTGGCTAAAAAGTCGGCCACGCAAACACAACTTAGGAAATATCATTATATTCACAAGGTTGTTGGAAACAAATACACTAGCGTTTGTAGCAGTGGCGGCCCTGGGGTGGTGTCGGCGGTGCGGTCGCACCAGGCCTCCGATTTTTAGGATAATTTATAGTTATAGTATTGGTATTTTTGTAAAATCTATTTTTATGTTTTATCAATAAATAAAATTAGCCTGGTAACTTTTGGTTCCAATTTTAGATGCGTTTTAATATTTGGCCTCCGATGCGTTTTAATTACCGAAACAAAGTCTCACTTTAAAATCATTGTCAATCATAAGGTGGGAAAGTAGGATCCTGAAATAGTAAAAGCTCTGCATAAACTTGTTGAAGAAGAGACAGACATAAAGATCATAAGTGAAGCTACTTGTCTAGCAGAGTATGAACTTGGCAGATTTGACTTTATAACAGGTATGGTTATATGGTATCATATATTGGCTAAAGTAAATAACGTGAGCAAACAACTTCAGTCTGAGACTATGCGTATTGATGAGGCAATGAGTAGTGTGGGAGCACTTATTGAGTTTTTTAAAGACTATCGAGAGAATGGGTTTGGGAAGGCTTTGGATTGTGCGAGAGCTATAGCTTCTGATTTGGAAATTTATTCGGTGTTTGTTGAGAAAAATAATAAAAGAAAAGTTGTTAAAAAAAGACATTTTGATGAGAATGACATTGGGTCATCAGAGCCGGTACATGAACTTTCACCTCCAGAGTCATTTAGGATTCAATATTGTGTACATAGTAGATCAAGCTATTGGTTCATTGGAGCGAAGGTTTGAACAATACAAACAATATGAAGACATTTTTTGTTTCTTATTCACAACAGAAAAGTTGAAGTCAATGAATACTAGCGAGTTAAAGTAATGTTGCAAAAATCTGGAAAAGAGGCTGCAAAATGATCATATCTCAGACATTAATGCTGATGATTTATTCAACAAACTGGAGTTGTTACAAAAACATTTACCGGTTGAACACAATACAGCTAACGAAATACTAAATTTCCTAAAAATGATGAACACTTATCCAGTTTCTTATCTAGCATACAGAATATTGTTGACTGTTCCTATTACAGTTGCATCAGCGGAAAGAAGTTTTTCAAAACTAAAGCTTTTAAAATCTTATTTGCGTTCGACCATGTCTCAAGAGAGATTAAACGCTTTGGCATTGATTTCGATTGAGAATGAGTTTCTTGAGAATATTGATTATGAAAGTCTCATAGATGATTTTTCTTCTAAAAATGCTAGAAGGCCAATGTTTAGAAAATAGTAATGCGTTTTTTTTTTTTTTTTTTGTTGAAAAGTTGTTTATAACAGTTTTACAGTTTTATTTGATTACCAATGAGTGATGAAGACATTATTTTGTGGTAGTGAATTTATGAGATGTTTTTTAGCAACTTTATGTTTTGAATTAGTGGTAGGAAATGTAGTTAATAATATTTACAAGAAATTTTTGTGGGGCCTCATTTTAGTTTTTGCACAAGGCCTCCGAAATATCAGGGCCGGACCTGGTTTGTAGAGTTGCGCCGTTGGGAACTTGGCCGATCCGTTCACTAAGGCCATGTCACATCATCACCACTAACTACCACTAAACCTATGAAATACCCACCACTACCACTCCACTTCACATCATTTTTTTTTATTTTTTTTAATTCAAAAATACAATAAAAATACATCTTTAAAATTAAAGATAAAACATAGATTTTTTTAACTAGTTTTCATTCGATAATAAAGAAACATTACATTAATATTAAAAACTACATTACTTAAATAACCTAGAATTAAAAACAAACAAACATAAAATAAAACTAATCTTCGTTCATATTAAGTTGGTACAAATGTTCCGTGACATCTTCTCGAAGATTGAATTTTTCGTTATCAACCGAGTCAAAATTTTAAAAAAAAAATCCATGTTTTTTTGTTTTAAAGAACGACAGTGTAAAATTTGATGAAATGTGAGTGTAAATTTTGATGTATTATGTTTATATAGGATTATAAGTGTTGAGTTTGTAAAAATAAATAAATAACTTAAAATTTTGAGCGTTAAACGGTTGAATTGGGCAACATCTTCCGATTGATCGTCCACTCTCGCCATAGCCATCACGAAACGCAACGACCACGACACACAAGGACGGTGTGCACGATCGTGGTTCATGGCTACGTATACCACGGAAGGTCTCGTGCTTAGTATAATGTATGGTCTAAGCAATTGTCGTAGACCAAGCTTGATTCTTACGATTAAAATAAATTGAGATTTTTATTTTTAACAAATAGTAGGAATACGTATCGAAATAACTATGAAGCGATGAAAATCCTATCTAATTGTGAATTTATCGACACAAGAAAGAGCAGTTCTCATTTTCTGAAAAGATAGGTTGTTATTTGAACTCAATTCTTTAATTATTTTCTGATAGAAGCTAATAATATATCATTATACGTGTTATATTTTGTCAAATTTATAATGTTTTTTTTTCATTTTTTTTTTTTGTATATATTTGTAAATTAAAGTTTTTGATATATGATTACGTACCAAATAGTGCAAGTCTACTTATAAATTATACTTGTTCTTGATGCTATAATCTATTTAACTTCATCACCTTCCTACTGCTACTCTCTCTCTCTCTCTCTCTCTCTGTGTTCTGCTTTCCTTCCTGTTGCTTTTCTTTGCATCAAACCACCACTAATCTCTCTCACTCCACCCCTACGTCTAATCATCTCCCATCTTCTAGACTTGAAGCATCCATCCATCATCTTCGAGATTCATTCCAAACCAACTATATTACGAATTCCACTGCATATTTTTCATAATTCAATACAGTTTTAATCCATTTTCTCATCTGGTTATACATCCAATTTTACTGCAAAAAGATTCAAAAAGCATCGATTTAAAGTTGTTTTTTTACCGTTATGGATAGAGATTTCTTTCTCCACGCTGGACTCCACTTCGAACCGCAGACTCAAATGCCGTCATGGAAGTTGATGGCATCGGCGCCGGAGATGAATTGCCCGCCGGCGCAATCGTCACTTGGTAGATTCAACAATTTTGAGTCTGCTTTTAGCTCAATGGTCTCCTCGCCTGTTTCCAATTCAGTGGCTCCAAACGACACTTTCGCCGTTCGTGAACTTATCGGGAAATTGGGTAGCATTTGCAATGGTGATGGTGAGGTTTCTCCGGCCGCCATGGCTCCGGCAGCAGCAGTGCCATTGAATTCACCACCAAGCAAGTTTGATTGGCCACCTGTTGACCACTTTGGGAAAGAAAACCAACTCAATTTGCGAGATTCAATTCCTCTCGGTTCTGGATTTCCATCACTAACAGCGGATCCTGGTTTCGCGGAGAGGGCGGCGAAGTTTTCTTCTTTTGGTAGTCGTAGTTTCAATGGCAGAACTTGTCAATCAGGGTTAAATTCAAGCAACCCTGATTTGCAATTTAGATCTAGCGTTTCGCCATTAATGAGAAATGCCAGAATGCCTCGTGTTTACAGTAGCCCTTCCCTGAAAATGGATGGATCTGCCATGGCGATTCGAGAAAACAAGAATTTGGCTGAAACCCACATGGCAAACGGGTTGGGATGTGAATATATATCCAATTCAAATGAAGAATCCTCTGTTTCCGAACAAATGCAAATTGGATTGAGAAATCCGGACGATTCAAACTCAAGAAAGAGAAAAGCTGCATCTTCAAAAGGCAAAGCTAAAGAAATTGTATCACCCATTGTAAAGGTAACAAGAATCAAGCAAAATTCAGCTAGAAACAGCAACTTATGTTCCAAATTCACCAATGTTTCGAAACTTCTGTGTTTTAGGAAGAAGGAAGCGATGATTCGAATTTGAAGAGACAGAAGAAAACAGAGGAGGATACAAATGGTGAAACAGAGAAGAATCCAAAGCTTCCCGAGCCACCAAAAGATTATAAAGATTATATTCATGTTAGAGCAAGAAGAGGTCAAGCTACAGATAGCCATAGCCTAGCAGAAAGAGTAAGCCTCTATCTGAAATCAACAATAATTACACCCTTTTTTGTTCTTCCAAATTCAAGATCTTGAATTCCACCATGATCATGTTTTTTACAGGTCAGGAGAGAGAAGATAAGTGAAAGAATGAAGCTTCTTCAAGATCTTGTTCCAGGTTGCAATAAGGTATCAAATTTGTAAACTTCCAACTCGAAATTGATGGCATTATGATCAGGGTGCTGATCGAAATGCGAAATCGTGTTCTTAGGTCACTGGAAAAGCACTCATGCTCGATGAAATCATCAATTACGTTCAATCACTACAAGGTCAAGTTGAGGTAAGTCGATAATTTCAAATTCTTGTAAATAAATCCACCGATTACCATCAAAATGATTGTGGTTCTTCAGTTTCTGTCCATGAAACTAGCAACAGTGAATCCAAGGCAAGATTTTGACATGAATAGTCAACTTTGCAAAGATGTTCATGTTAGTCAACTTTCTCTCTCTAAAACTCAACGCTTCTCTCTCTCCTCTTAAACTCTACGAAATTTGATTTCCGTTTGTGGGTATGTTCTCAAATTTGCAGATGAGTCAATCACATAGGAATTTATCTCAACAACTATACCCAATGGAAACATCCACGTCAGAGTTCTATCAACAAAACCCACAACAAGTACTTTTTGTTGGGTCTACTGCTATCACTCAATCTTCAGTGGACCCATTGTCCAGCTCCATTGTTCATGGATTCACCCAAACTTTTTCACAAGTAAGTAATTTACGAAAAGAAAAATCATAACTTTACGTTAACATCGCTCTTAAAATAACAATCCACAATCCAACCTTTTGGTTCAGTTCGTTGAATTTGAAGGAGATGATCTAAATAATATTGTCAAGATGGGTTACAGAGACAATCATGATCATGATCAGACATCGGAAATGAAAATTGAGCTCTGACCATGATGCAAACGCGTTTGCAGCCATTGGTCGATTGATGGCATGATGAGGCCGTGTAAATACAAAAGAGAGTACTTTTAGTTCGGATTAAAATAATTAAACCTGTATTTTGCTAATTGATCTACTTTTAAGTATAATATTTTCTAGCATTTCATTTCATTTATTTTTTGTATTATGCATTGTATTATAGAGGTTATGTGGAGTTGAAGGTTCAAAAGTTCGATATGTAATATATAGTGTTAAATAGATAGAAATTAAAAGCAAAAAATTTCAAGCAACTTTTATGTTTTAACCAAAGTTTATACTTCTAGCTTCATATATGTATAGACATATAGTCATGCAATATTACAAAGCTTTGATATTATCTGTTATGAAATATACATAATATCTAGCTAAATGATACCAAGTATAATAATTGGTTAAACATCTTATATGTCTTGACGAAAGAATATTTGATTTGCCATATAGTCACATAACATTTGGGACCTCTTTTGTCCAATGAAAATGCAACATCATAACTATATACAAGATATATGTAATAATTCTATGCAAAAAAAAGTTTTTCTAAGTTATCTTTGTTGAATTACGTTAAAAAGATAAATGGGTTTTCCATTAAATGAAGTAGCATGGTTCTTAGTAGTAGGTCATACCAAAAGGGTCCGCTAAATCTAATGCCAATAGTCAGAGTGAGCAACGATACCCCTATAAACAAAGCAGAGACTGAGCCAATCCCTGGTAGCATAAAGTCCTAGGAAAGGTTAGAGCGCCAAAAATATCCCGTCTAATTCAGCATGAATCATACGCCACCCACAATCACTTGCAAAAACATATATCGATAGAGACACATAAATGGTACAATGTGATAGACATTGTCCTCTTCATCAAATCTATAAATCTCTCATCCATAGGGTTATCAACAAGTAACAATTCACTATCTCATTCTCTTCAAAAGCACCCATATAGTCTATCCAATACACACCTAACTTAAGTGTCAAAGTATAATCCTGGGACAACCCCAAATTATATCTGACCTAGTGGTTTTCTTGTGATTAACTGAAACATCCATATCAAGCAAGAAGACAAGTCTCTGTCCATCCCGTCTTAAACCTTTATTTTAGGACTTTGTTGCATTAGCTTTTTTAACAATAGTATAAAAAAAAATGAACCATCTTATTCCGTTCATATCATAAAGGACTTCTAGTCTAACGGTATTAAGTGTTGCCCTCATTGCTTAAGGTTGACGGTTCAAGTCTCGTCTGAGACATAAGTGAATTTATGAGTAGTTTAGGAATATTTTGCGGTTCAAAAAAATATCATGTTAATTATTATGTATACTTATTACCTACTATTAAATATAAACTAGATATTTATCCATTTCTTTTTGGAATAACTAACACACCACTCGTTAAACCTAGTCCTAAAGTCTATTTTTTTTGTACACAAGAACTTTCAAGCATTTTTATTTCTTAAAAAGATATAAACATTATACTATAATAATGACTAAATAGCAACTATTTTTATCTATTTATATATGTGCATAAAGGTTATCAATCACGAAATTTATTAGTCAACCAAAGATATATAAGGTACTTAGATCTGTTTTTGATATATTAATAATATTTGTGTTGTTCAAATATAGAAATGAAATACAATGATTAATTTGCTTGAAAGTAGTTAATTAAGTAAGAATAATTAATACAAGTCGGAATTAATATTTAATTAAAAAATTTAAGAATCCCAGGTTGGCATTGGTGAATTATGACTCAAACCCACCCCATGCAACAAGAAGACTTTTTTTCTAATTTGAAAAAACGACTCAGATGTAGTGGAGTTACAGGTAGAGAAGATACCCCTTCATATGTAATTAATTATTAATATATTTACTTTTTAAAATTTAAATGAATTATTCACAGAAAATATCATATATTTTATGAGTATATTTTGGAGCGATCACCGCTAACAAAATGAGAAAATAAAAGTTATTTCTAGTAGAGACGGAAATAAAAATATAAAATTTTTATTAAGATAACTTGAGGTTCCAATCAATAAAAATACTAATGAACCTAATAAAATGATAATAGAAATTACTTGTTTTTTGAGCCCAAATATAGGTTCTATTTATATGTGTTCTGATCGACAATATATATATATATATATATATATATATATATATATATATATATATATTATATATATATATATATATATATATATATATATATTTTGAGAATTGAGAGAATAATCCAAATGAATTTGACTTTAGTCCTTTTTTCTTTTGAATTAACTCGTCAATGAGGATCGCGAAAAAAAAAACTTGCTAACCGCAAAGATAAGGCAAAATATCTCACATGTTTTTTTTATCTGCCGTCATTTTCACCATGGAAAAAGAGCGAAAATCATCCTTTTTATTTGCCTCTACGGATCATAGTTATAAATATACACGTTATTCAAGTAAGTAATAAATAAGCTTGCCACTTCGATTAATTTTGTTCAAAGAGGTATCAACATTCCTTCCATTATTTGTTCTATATGTGGGGTGTGAAGACTTGATCAAACACAAGCGAGCATCAAGAATCACAAGCGAGCATTAGGAATCACGATTGAACATCAGGATCACAAGCAAGCATCAAGAATCATGAGTGACAATCAGGATCACAAGTAAGCATAAAGGATAACAAGTGAGCATCATAGATCACGAGTGAGCATCAGGGATCACAAGTGAGCATCATGGATGTTTATGTTGAAGATGCTAAAGGAGGATGCTCATCAGTTGAAGATGCTCAAGGAGGGTGCTCATCAGTTGAAGATTCTTGAGGAGGATGCTCATCAGTTGAAGATACTCAATGAGGATGCTCATCAGTTGTCGATGCTCATCGATGATGCTCATGAGGTTAAAAGTTCTAGAAGCGCCTGCATGATATTCTATGATTGGTTGGAAATTAGGGCATCCCCTTTATGGGCTAATTATGGATGTGATTGACCCATCAGAATTAGAAATTCCCATGCTTACCTATAAATAGGTTCATATCATCGTCGTTGTTAGTCGCTATTTTAGTTTTCAGTGCGAGCTAAAAGTGAGATACAACATTGAATTTTTGTAATAGTTCTTGAAAGATAATAAAATCCTCTCCATCTCGTTCACCCATGGAAGTAGGTCACCTTAACTGAACCACATTAAATATTGTGTTCAATTTTGATTTAAGTTTTTCAGAAGTTTTATTCCGCAAGTTTTATCGAAGTTTGTTTGACATTTGTCATAAGTGCTTAACTTGTTTTCTTGTTATCCTAACAAACTTATTTTGTGGACTTCTTGAGAAGGATTCGGCCCACTTGCTTATTTCATGTGAGGTAACCACGACTCTATGGTGTTTCTTAAAATATGGTTTGATCTTGATATTCCTACCTTATAGAGGTAGAAGAAGTGTGTAACATCCCAATTTTGAGTCCAAAAATTTCATTTTAAATAACTGAGTATAAAACATTCATAGGAAAAATACATGAAAATATATCGTTCGTAAATCAACATAACATGTCTGAAAGCCCAAATCATAAAGTAACGACATATCAAAGTACAATCCCAGAACATCTCAAGTGCGGAAAAATCAATGCATGTATGTATGATGTGATGCTACCGCGCCAACTCCTTCCCCTTTGATGAAGAGGTACCTGAAACCAAAACTGTAAACTGTAAGCATGAAGCTTAGTGAGTTCCCCCATCATACCGCATACCATACATTCACATAACATACATATACTGTCAGGCATATCTGGGTGCCCGACCTACCTCTTCGGTCCTCTCGACCGGATACTGCCTAGCATATCTGGGTGCTAGCCTCCCCTTCGGTCCTCTCGATCGGATACTGCCTAGCATATCTGGGTGCTGGCCTCCCCTTCGGTCCTCTCGACCGAACACTGGGGACTATTTCACCCCTCTACTACTACCACATAACATATAACACATAATCATATTCTATCTAGCATGACCGGGTATGACTACCCCCTTCGGCCCTATCGACCGGAAATCTTGGGGACTATCTCCCCTACTGCTACAAGCATATAACATCATATCATACTAGCACATAATACATCAGGTAGTAGAAAACCTAGATGAATATCACAAAGACAGTCATCTAACATACAACTCCTACTGGTGGGCCGGCATTGTGGCCGTAGACCCACCGCTATTGGAAGGTAACTCACCTTGAACGAAGCTGCTGATAATCTGCGAGGGAAAAGTCTATGTCTGCTGCTGCTCCGGAAATCCTCCGGCTATAATCCCCACAAAACACTTAGTCAGAGTCTGATATCTATTCTCAGGGTAAAATGACCATTTTACCCCTGACCAAGTCCAAGACAAAGTCAAAGTCAACTTCCAGTTGACCCGACTCGCCGAGTTAGGCCGCCAACTCGTCGAGTCCCTATCCTTTCATCTGTCCTTCTTCACGCCTCTACTCGTCGAGTTTGGCAACGACTCGACGAGTTCTCCTTCTAGAACAACCCCGGATGAACATTCATCCGACTCGCCGAGTTGTATGAACAACTCATCGAGTTCATCCTCAAGAGTTTGGAGATTGCCTTGGACTCGTCGAGTCTGTTCATGCACTCGCCGAGTCCTATGAACTCCAGGACTATGGCTTATCCCAATACGTTGGGGTCACTCCTCCGGACCCTCTAAAACCTTTCCAGCACTCCACTGGGTCTCCTTGACCCATAACAGAAAAGGGGAGTCTAACCTCGGACTCGCCGAGTCCCAAGAACGACTCGCCGAGTCGATACAGTCCAAGTCTTATTTCTTCGATTTCTGGTGTACAACTCTTGTCCAAATGATAGATCTAGGTCCCTAAACTCGATCTAGCACGTAAAGTTACGAACTTTACGTGCATGCATGGGACTTTGAGTCTAAAAGGCTCTAAAAGAGACTCTTGGGTTGCATGGGGGCTTCCATGGGTGCAAAAGCAGCCCCTTTCTGCCTTGTAATTCCTCCATGGACCTAGATCCGAACCCTCAACCCCCAACCATGCTTGCAATCTCCCCAAAAAGGGATCTAGCAAAAGAACAAGCAAGGTATCGACTTTATACCTTCTGTGAACTGCAAATGGTGCACAAACTTGAACTCCCTTGGTCTCCTCTTGATTCCTCTAGGCTTTTCCTTCTCCTTTGAGTTGAAAATCACCAAAAAGCACCACAAATGCCTTAGCTCTTTATACAAACCGCTAGGGTTTGCTATGGGGGTTTT